CGTAACCAGACCGCCCAGCGCGGATATCCCTGAAGTGCGTCTGATTGTGTTTCAGACGTACGCCTGACTGTGTTTCAGACGTGCGCCGGCAGCTGCGTCACACTGAAGCCCTGTGTAGAGTGTCGGGCCTTTAACGCCGGCCCGCACAAAGACAACTGTGATGCCCAGTGCGGCTCTGTTCGGCAGCTCAAGCGCGTCACCAACCTCACTGGTGGGTCCTTTTCAGGGGAGATGCGATGGCGGAGTGGTTAGCGCCGCCGGCTCCTATATAAGGGTTCGGGTTCGAAGCCCGCTTGCGGCATGGCCTTTGAGCGCTAAACTGAGATTTGCAGATAGTGGTGCTTCTTAAAAGCGTCCTCGACGGCGTGTGTTGTGTATGATTGAAAGAGCATGCTTTACAGTGTGACCTCCCCTGACACACGTGGCCGTGGTCGCGCGCAGGGGATCAGCACTCTCTTGTCTGAGGTGTCCTCGGGATATCAGTGACTCGTTTCAGTTGGAGATCTCCGGTGGCTCCGATCTCCAATGGTATCTCAGAAAATCTCCACAGCGAACCGACTAACCGTGCCGTAAACCGTCTTTTTCGGAGGGTTGCACTAAGTGCTGTTGTCGACAAAGTATATTTCGTTTGAGAAGAAACCTGTAACAAAGGGTGCCTGTGATATAGAACCACCGACACAGAAATCCACGATCCACGCTTCCACTTTTGCTGACCGCCTGGCCCTGTGATACCCTCCTTGCATGGCATTCCTCACGCAGCATGGAACGAGGGGTCACAGTAGAAGCAAATGCAAAGAACTGAAATAACAAAAATAATGTTTCCCTGAAATCTGTTGCTTTTGTCGCCTGTTTGGCTTGTAAAATACATCATAATTTTTGGTTTCATCGTAGGAGTTTTTAATCGTTGTACATCCGGTTTTCAATAATTTTACAATTGGAATGGATTAGCTATGCAACACATGCACCATCTTCTCCAGTCCTGGTTCTGGAGACTTTTATGATAGTCTTGAGCTTTGCACACCAGATGTGCCAGGTGCTTTGAACTGATAACCCTTAGAGTCAATGGCGTAGCCAAGTAAGGGTCTCCCCTGGAGGTGACTGGGCTCCCAGTACTTTTGGGCAGTTTAAGACCAGGAGTAGGGGTTCTGAAGCATGCAAAACGGGTCTTGGGGACATTAACACGGAAACTCGAGCTGAGATAGGTTCCTGAAATCCAAGAACAGGCTCCCACAGCAGCGAAGTGTGCCTTGTTGGCTGTAAAGACTCCTATGCTCGATTTGACCTCTACAGGTGGAATTCCCGGCTACGCCAGTGCACGAAGCGATACAAAATGATGGGTTGAAAAAACTACGCGCAACGACGTTGTGCGTAGTTTTTGCTGGTCTTACTGGTCTATCTTTTGTTGGTTTTACTGGTCTTAAAGATTGTGCAATAGTCTAAAAGTGAATAATATCAATAGACCTCGTTGCCTTCTAAAATGAAAGGCCATGGAGGACGAAGTATTTGCTTTTTTGACTATAGCGGGATGAGCATAAGGTTGCAATTAAAAATTATCGTATTGTATTTTAAGGAATTTGGGCGATGTAAAGCGCCTTTTCATTCGTAACAACGACGAACGGACGTCGGCGCCGGAACTCGACATAATTACACAGAGCAAAGAACAGATACAACGTGAAGCCGGAAACACCGTCACTAAACCAGGAGAATATGGCGTACGTATCTCGACCGCTCACTCAAACTTTCTTTTCCCGGCAAACCCGACACATTCAGTGCCCACTGGCGTCGGAATTATCGCGTTTGGAGGTTTTGGAGGCTTGGGCCCACAGGTTTTAGGGGATTGAGCCAACAGACATTGGGGAAAATATTTAGCACTAGACCTACGGCGACGTGAAAAGGAACGACCCAAAGTGAGTCTGAGCCCCCTTCCCCGTCCCCTACACCCATCCTAGACAAATCCCTTCGCTACTGAGCAGCGACACATGTCAACAAACCCCACGTTGCCCCTGTCATTGCGACGCCGTCGGACACACCTTCTCTCTCTCTCTCTCTCTCTCTCTCTCTCTCTCCCCCTCTTTTTCTCCCTTCCTCCCCCCTTTTCTCTCCTTCCCCCCCTCTCTTTACCTCTCTCAACCGCCCGTTCTCTCTCTGCTGCAGTCGCGGACGCCTCGGAGCAGCTGTGCCACTTCGTGACTGCTGACGGCTGCCGGTACCGATTCGTCGCCACGGCGGTCGGCGCCGTGCGCGTGGCGGCGGAGCTCCAGTGCCCCCCGGGCGTGTCCCACGGCTGGCCCTCGCCCCAAAGGGCGGCCGGAACAGCGGCCGCGCCTGTCACGCTTGCGACGGCGTCGGCGGTGCTTTTTGCCTGCCTGCTGCGCTAGTGCGAAGATGGTTTTTACTGCCGAGTCGAGTGGTGTAAAAAGGAATGTGTGATGGGACAAAGCGTCGCGCTTCGTCGCGCAGTGGGGCGGGCGATGTCTTTGAAGGCTTGTTTGTGATCGATATTTCTGCGAAGCACTCGATCCGTGCGTCAAAAAAACTGCCGCCGGCCCGTACAGCACGGGCAGGCGACAACCACAAGCTGGTCGTCCAATCGTGGTCGTTCATTTGTGTCAGAAGCCAAGAGCCCAAAAACGAAAGTTTGCATCCATCGATTTTCTATCCAGTTTTTGTTGCTTTCTGGTGGCTTTAACTCCCTCTCTCTGTCTCTATCTCCGTCTATCTGTCTGTCTGTCTGTCTGTTTGTCTGTCTGTCTGTCTGTCTGTTGTTTCGCTCTCTCTCCCTCTCTCTCTCCCTCTCTTTCTCCCTCCCTCTCCTCTCTCTCTCTCTCTCTCTCTCTCTCTCTCTCTCTCTCTCTCTCTCTCTCTCTCTCTCTCTCTCTCTCTCTCTCTCTCTCTCTCTCTCTCTCTCTCTCTCTCTCTCTCTCTCTCTCTCTCTCTTTTGCCTTCTGTTTTTGGCGTCTTAGCTTTCTTTGTAGGCTCAAACTCCGTTGAAATATGGGGAGTTTCTTTGCACGCGCCTGACGCTATCTGATTAAGTCTGAAACCGGTCTTATAAAACACGACACACATTCGCGCAGTAAAGCACATGTCACCGGTCGTCTGAAGTCATTACGCACATGTTTACACGCACGAAGACCTTTCAGAAATTTGAGGACCTCACCACGCTCGGCTTCACTACTTCATCAGTCCTAAGAAGGTTAGCGCACTAGTCTCCACATCTGGAGACTAGTGCGCAGCTCTGAGGTTTGGGTTCTACGTTAATTGCGTGCTAGATACCGCTTTTAAACCCGCCATCATATTGAGTCATACATTGATAACTATTTGTCACTCACCTGACGAGGCCGCTGTCGGGTATCTGGCAAAATTCTTGCAACACGACACAAAACATGCATCTTTTGTCATTTTCGAACCACATCCCGCTCGCTCCTACGCCCGCGAGGTAAGGTTGCTTGGTTGCCAGTTAGATGCTGATGATCAGCATACTTTAAAGCCGATCGCATGCGAGCCCCGCCGCGCGCCATCCACGCATCATTGGCCGGCGACAGGCGGTTTAGGCGTGATGGATAACCAGCGCCATGAAACCCCTGCGGGCAGACTGTGCCGCAGGACATTACACGGCGGCGCAGGATCCGCGTCTCTGCGTTCGTTGCGGGCGCCACTGCGAGGCGTGGTGGCGTGGCGTGACGAAGTGCTTTGGCGTTCAAAGGGGATGTTCCATAATTGAAGATGTTGACGCAAACATCAGATGTGACGACACAGGCCTCTTATAACTTTTGGTACACTTTTTAAGTAGAAAAGACTACTCTGGACAGCACAATTTCTCTGCTTAGTCAGTATGCTCCCCGATGCGTCATGGTTTGATTACGTCATCATACCGTGCACGACATTTGTTGACAGTCGATTGATAGCTGTGATGTCTGGAAATCGTGCTGAATAAATATTTCTGCGCTTGAATAAATAATGTCTGTGAAACGGCTTCTGCCGAGTGGGACGAGCGATGTGATGACGAATAACGAAGGGGGTTTGCATCACTGCTAAATACGGATTACAAAAGCACACTTTGCCTTAGCACCATTCTGCCCTCGCTCACACAAGAGCCTTCAGATTCGGCAAAACATCGCAACACTTATTCTACACTTGCAATTCTTTAGCGCAAGCATTTCCACGTGCTTAGTTCGGCTCACGACCAATGTGATGAATGGCTGCGACGAGAGTAGTGAGATTACACATAATAGATTATTTAACGACATTTACTCACGATACGAGAGGAAGAAATCAAACGAAAAACATCTAGTGGTTGCATATTCGTCATGCGCCTTGCCCAGAACATAAGAAGAGAAGCGTTGAAAAGCGTGACAACAGTGCTAGGTGTCAGTTTATTCGGTCGCTATGCAGGCAGATCACCAGAGCCGTGGAATGCAGGTCTGCATATGAGATAATCGTGCTGTATTTGCTCTACAGCAAAGATAACTGTAACAAGGACATGTAAAGGACGTTGTTCAACATATTTACCGAGAGTAACCGGTTATCAGCGGGTCAAACAGAAAATTCGTATATTTATTTTAAAACATTCTAGAAACGCAAATCTTACACTTGCCTGTATTTTATACTGTTGAATACTGCACCGTCCAAACCGGCAGCCTCAACTAGCCAGGGTCGCAGGCGTGATTGGCGGTGGGGGAAGAGGAAGGTTTGCGGCCAGGCTTGACGGCGGGGGGGGTATATTTGTTTATGGCCAAATTCCAACCTCATTCACAGTGCCCGCGTTTTGTGTACGCACTGTGTCCACAGGCTTTACAAAAATAGTGTGGCATCATACTCCACAATCGCTAATATGCATAAGCCTCAATTTATTCGATAACATCAATGCTGGTCTGCCCTGAAACCGAATACAATCCGCATCCGCCACAATACAAGCCGAATCTGCCCAGCGCAAACCATTTTTGTGATCACTAGATTGTGAAATTGCATTCAAAAGCACAGCAGTGAAACAATGAATGCGCACCGCCCTGACGAGAGGGAGTCTAAGGCTCATGAGCCCCCCCCCCCCCCCCTCTCTTTAGATGCAACTCTATAACAGACGAACGCAAACACTGAGCTCACCGACAGCGCTCGGTCGGTGCGGAACGGCCACGGCCCCCGCCTGCGGCGTGCAGCGCGCCGACTGCAGACCACGTGACCGCCGGAGGGCGGGCTCGGGTGTCGGCCGCGCACGGACTGCAGTGCATCTCCGCGCGCGCGAGCGGACGCCCGCGAACCGCCGGCGGCGATCACGTGACCAACAGCGGCGCGAGGTGAGCGCCGCTTGACGCTGCACCGCTTTGAACCGAGGTGCCGTTTCCTGAAAGTTGTCCTGAGTCCAGTCCAAAGTCCGAGGATGGACCAGCTGTCGGCCCAAAAGTGTACAAAAAAGAAAAGTAGGCTGTCCAAAAATGTCTGCCCACAAACCTTCAACCCCAGTCACTGCCCGCGTCACTGCATTCCGTCACTCGAATCGAATGATAATAAAAAATTGATCGTGGGTTAGCGATGTGTACCGTGGGCGTTCGTGAAGACGTCCACAATTCCATCACGTCAAAAGGATGCCGGCTGTGCAAAACAAATCAAAAATTTTTGCTCCTGTCCGTCCAATTTCCAAATAAAACTTTTTAATTTCAAAGATTTCGAGTCCAATGGACACATCTAGTTTGAACAGAGGCGACTGCGCATGGGTATGACTTTCATTCAATTGCCGAGGGCAGGACTAACCGTGAAAAGGCGGAGGAAATCTGGAGAGAATCCTGCTCTTTTGCCGTTTGTTGGCTTTAGGTTGGGTCATTTTTTGCCCTATGAACTTCCTCGCCCGCTCCTCCGAATTATTTTGCGAACTCATCTCTGTGACGGCGGCAGCTGCAGGCGGTCGCGAGCTCAGCAAGTTGGGTTATCAGTTCGATATGAATACAACTACAATTATTGTCACAGTGGGGGCCGTTAACGGTGATTTTGAAGATTGTTTGATTTGCAAACGAAAATGTACTACAAAACTGGGCATTTGTATTTTTAGAACCAACAAAATCCACCACCAGAGTTATATTTGCTTGCAAAGTTGTATCAGTTTTGTGCGTTTGCTGGTGCAGAAAATGAAAGACTTCACAGATTGGGTAAACCCACGGGTACTCAAATAGAATGGGCAGCTGGTTGGATTTGGTACATAACGTTCAATACATTAGCATCCCTTGCCTTTACGTCAAGTTAAAAGCAACCACATTTTTTGCGTTTCCATGATGTTATGTTAAAACAGAAGGCATGTTTGTGTAATCTAATAGCGAAAAACAACACCTCTACCGGTTGGATGTTGTGAATTAATTAGTTGTGTTAGTCTTAGAGATTGGCAGCAATGCGCCGGCTGATACTGCAAATAGAACGCGTTAGCATCACCGCTCATTTTGGAATGGTATCTCGTGTGAATGACGTTATTTTCAGGAAAAAATCATGTTATTTCTGGGACTTCTACCGCGAGGACCTACCTGTTTTTGAAACTCCCTCAGCATTTTGTGAAAAAACGTACAACGCTTTCAACGAATGTCCTCCGCGGTTGCATGGGATTCATTTTTTATCTTCCATTAAAGGTTAATAGCAGTGCTCTGTATTTGTATGGGATTTTGAACAGAGGTGACAATTTGGAAGATCATTCGGTGCAGTTCACAGCCACCCCTTTTGAAGACTCAAAACCATCTTGTTTCTGATCGTGACGTCCGCAAACTTGTGCAGACCATTTCATGCAGATTTTTTCAGGGTCACCCAGGTATGCATGACGTCATAGAAACGTCATACGTATATGGCTACCTCAATGGCCATTACGTACTCAAGGTCTATCAAAGTATGGTCATCGGATTATTCGTGTCTGGTACGCCAGCACGTTTGGTGGCATCAACGAACATCAGCTGGCCTTCAACCAACTTCATGTGTAGAATATAAATGCATAAAATTAAATAAAACGAATGAAGTTTTGTGCTACATGATGATAAAGGCATGTAGGCAGTGACTTTAGTCATGACGGCAATGTAACTGGTGAATGAGTACTTACAAAAAGCGTCATAACCGAGTGCGTGAATCAAAGTAAAACGCAAAATAAGAGACGAACATGCAAGAACGCCACGAGAAAGGGCCAAAACACAAGCACATGGTCTTGTCAATCGATTGATTATCCTGTTTCAAGGAGTCTTGAGAGATTTCATAAACTGCTCACGCAGGTGATTCTCATCGCATGTATTCATCATACTCGCACTCACCAATGAGCCCGCCTCATTAACATCCGGATTATTCGCCGGGCGTCTTTGATTATACTGCTCCCGTTCGCAATATGCTGGCGTGAGGCATGCGGGCACGCGCTTTCACGCAAAGACCGCTCGCCACCTCCCGCCGACGCTCAGGCTTTGTACAAAGCACTGCTGATCAGCTGGGCCTTCACGCTGGCGGATGCCGGGGAGCATGACGTGGTGCCCACTCCAGCCGGGTGCCCAGGCGTCCAGGCTGGTAAACGGATCGAGGCTGAGACTGCAGTTCTGGACTTGGTACTGGCATAGGTGGTGCCGGTGTGTCAGGAGGTGGTGCTCGTGCAGGAGGCGGAGCACGATAAGGAGGGGCAGATAGCCGCAAGATTAAAGACAGAGCTAAATGTCACAACAAATTATTTTCCTTGCGCAGCAATTGCTGACCATGACTCCTCTCTGACGCAACGAATGACTTCCGAATAGAGGACACGAATGGAACACAAAGTCTCCGCCCGTCCAAACAAAGCGGAGTAATTCGTTGCGAAATCCGACAGGAGGCAGATCAGGCCATCGGGCTCTCGGCTCCCCAATCACTTACACAAATCGACGTCCATGGTTGGCAGCCAGACGTTGGCCCGCGAGGCAGCTCGGACGCGGCCGACGCGAGCAGGTGTGACTGTGTCTCCTGGAGTCGTGCCCGTGCTGCAGGCATAATGTTTGGCCCAGCGGCGACACGCTGGCCCCGGGACGGGCTCAGCGCGGGGCTGTATGCGATGCACGGTGGGCTGCTGGGGCCCACCATGGGCTGCTGTGGCCCACCATGGGCTGCTGTGGCTCACCGTGGGCTGCCGTGGTCCACTATGGGCTACAGCATGCCTGTGGGGCCAGCGGTGTCGTGCTGCTGGTAGTCGTTGCCTGCGGGCGTGGTGTAACCATTTCCCTGAGATTGGGAGAGACAGATTAAAATTAAGGCCAAACTGAAAGCTGGAGGGAGACAATCTGACCTGAATAATGTCTTTTGATGGGAGAGTGTGGAAAAACGGGCATTCTACAAGACAAATTGAACGGGGCGAAATCCTACTTTGTCAAAAATTGAGGGTGGCTTTTCTCCCAGCCCCTTCCCCCCTGCTCGTTGTTGCCACCCATGTCTGCGGTGCTCAAGATGAAGCCGCGGTTACCTTATGCCATATTTTCTGGAGTGACGAATCTGAGACTCTTTTCCCTAATGCCACGTAAGTAGAACTTGTTCTTTGTCTCGCGGCCCATCCTTGTTCGTGCGGTAGGAGCCCGCTGAATAGTGGCATGGCTGCAGTCATGCGCTCACATGCATTGCAGATTATGATGCAATGAAGAAAACCTCTAAATTACTCAATTATGCCATGGAACGGGCGCATAGCTTCCCTCGAATGGCTTTACAAAGCCTCTGGAATCGAGGATAACATTCAGCAGTGGGAACAGTGGCCTAGAACCTGTCACAAAGCCCTCAGCAAGGAAGGCGCCTGGTAAATTGCCACTCTGCTCCTCCAGAAAATGCACCTGGCCCACCCAAAGCACAAGAAGCAAGTCATCTCATGAAATGGTGTCGAGTGCAAAGGCTGATTAAATCGGAGAACCGCCATATTTCACATAGCAGTATGACGGCACAATATGTTTCCCTGTCATCGGCCAATCGGTCTGAGCGGTCCAACGAATTCGTCTCAAAGCTGGAAGGGGGCTTTGGTGTCGCTGGCGGCCGACGTCAATAATCTCGAGGCACCGAAGTTTGAGTCACCGGGTCGCCAATGAATGAAACTGTTTTGAATATGACATTCTCATCAGAATAATGCGTCATAAGCCATTATATCATTACTGGTAAAAGCAGTTCATCCACTGCTTCTAACCCTAGTTTTTAGTGATTGTATTTACCTCTTAGTGCGCCCATAATGAATACGTCGCCACTCTCATGCACAAATCGCAATGACTGGATGCACGGCGCTTTATAGAATACGTTATTCATCTATTAGTGCACCCATAACACAGGCGTGGCCACTCATGGACAGACCACAATGACTGGATGCACAGCGCTTTATCAGACACGTGTGTTTGTGTATTGTAGGGAACACTTTCGCTGCAGTCGGGCAGAATCACAGGAAGTTTCGTTGAACAAAAAGTGTTTCTTGACTGTGGTGAGAACGTCATGCGATGAAAAATCCCACAAATATAGCCACGCCACGAAAAATTGTAAATCTGGGCTAATGATGGCGAATTAGGGAAAACTGGCCGAGACTCGAAAGCAGCGCATCTCATTTAAATATGCATCGAATTGCATGCATACGCGTGCGGTGATACTTCGACCTAACAGATGGAAGCTCTCATTTAGAGGGGCATGCCACCTTTTTATACTTTTCACTTCTTCACTTCAAGCGTTGATTCAGTGTAATTTTCATTGTCAATCGCCAGGTCAAATTTTAATGATTGGATCAGACGCTTTCGATTTCATCGGTAATAACAGTTTTCTTGAAAACCTTCTGAATGGCTCGGCATTCGCTAAAGTAATTAACTAAGCTTACTAAAGCCTGAAACACTTTTAACACACGCTCATTTGGAGTGGTTAACTTGACCACCTCCCAAAGATTTTTTTTTCAGAAAAGCTCGGCTTAGCCTAGAAAAGCGGCTAGAAAATTTAAGAGCGGATCGGACGGTATAGATATAGACGTGTCTTGTAAGGTCGCTGACACATGGCTGGTCAAAGTCAGGCCATGGCTGTCAGCGAGGACAATTTCTAGGAAGTAGTTGAAACTGATGCGACAACAGAACGTTGGACAAGGCCGTAATCCCTGAGATAGTTTCGAAGACAATGAACAAGTTTGATGTAAGCTTATGACAAATTTTGCCTAGCTCTCCTAGTTTTTTAGATCTCGGAGGTCAACCTGCCCCCCCCCCCCCCCCCCCTGAGCGTGTCGTATTCGACCGGCAACCCGATTAAGGTACACTCGGCCACGCGTATTAAAGAAAAATATATGCAAGCATAGGGCCATTATCACCCGAATTCAACGAAACATTGTACTCTGTTTTTTTATATTTTCCCCCACGGCGCTAAGCACAGCGGCTATTTTCAAAGCGTGTCTTTGCTTTGGGAAACAGATTGTCGCATGGTCTGTGGTGATGCACTGGTTCAAACTTCCAACAATGCGCTCCTCGGTAAATGGCGTTCTCCGCCCGCTGTTCCAAACACAATTGTTCATTTGCCCTGACGTTATGCATACCAGTGGATGCTCCACTTTTAAGCGCACAGGCCCGGAGTATGCGCGTTAAAACAGCATAAAAGTGGTACCTGTCCTTCGCAACAGCTGGCGACGGCCCTCAGGAGATTCTGCTGACGTCATGACGGCGGCAGATATGGTGACGGCGGCAGTCGCGACAGCTGCAGTTGTCACGGACTAGGGCTACAGTCTGGGGCTACTAAAAAGGAAAGAAGTGTAGTGCTGTGGCAAAGTGTCGAAAGCATAATTCGTACCCAAAAATGATTAAAATAGACCTCTTCATACCTTGGTGGTGTTGCAGTGACACTATCCGGCGCCCAGTGTTGTCATTGGATGTAGCTGGTCCTGAGGTTTCACCAGAGTACACCAGAGTATGTTATTGAAATATGCCCAGTGGTGGGACACTCCCTTTAAGATGCATGGGTTTTTATTAATCCAGTTGATACACTTTTTTCGTTGTCTTTTCTGCTAGCTGAAAATTTACCGCATTCAGTTGAAATCTACTTCAGTATTTATTTCATTATTCACTCTATGACTTGTCACGTAAACATCGTCGTTTGTGGGTAATTCAATAACAAAACGAGCATCTCGTCAAGGTTTTTGCCCATCTTTTATTTTGCCTTCTCGTATGATAAACAGTTCCAACGGAGTTCAAAGATGAAAGAACAATTAAGAAGATAAAAGGATTATCTGAGTGTCTCAATGTGGAGCGAAGTGTAAATATGAAGAACATTTAAAAAAGCAAAAAGGTAGACTATATGAACGCAGCTCACACTAGCTTCTGGCACAAATTCAGCTCTGTGGGACAGGGAGAACAGCAAATTTATTGTGTCCACCAGGTGTTATCTATTCGACTTCCCGATTCCCCTATTATATTGTGCTTGTTTCAGGCTATAACCTTGTTTTCGTGGTATAACCGCGAACGCTTCCTCCATGCGTCATTGTTTTCTGTGGACAACGGCATGCCTGTAGTCTCTATTGGAAGGACAAAATCAAAGCCTTCTCTCATGCACCATGGAGACTCCTAGCTTGGATACGATATCCTTTTTTAAATCCAACACCGCCACTGCATTGGCCCAGTCGCGATGCATTATGTATGGGTTAACAGCGGACAGGGTTTTTGCAGGTACCGGCACACTGCTAGCTTTCGACGCATCCAGCTCGGGTCAACATTGCTCAGCGCAGGTGAAGTCTCGAAGTGGCAGCTCGGGAGCCGCTCTGGCACCGACGGCGATGACATCGATTAAGTGCCGACTAATGGTAGAGTGGAACAGGAATCCTGCATCCATAGACGTCTGGAACAATATACAGAAGGAGTCACGCCGATAGTCTGCCCTCTCCGACTCCCTTTCGAGCCAAAAGACCCCCCGGGAGTCATGCTTGCATATCCAGTGTTTATTTGTAATATCAATAGGCCTGTTATCAGGTCCCAAGTGCGCGTTATGAGAGCGGAAATAGCCCCCATTATGTGTTTGTCTTGGACGGGTTTTTTATCACCCTTATCGCCACTTCAAATCGATGACAAACACTAGGTTCGTCACCCAGGGCAATACGACGCGGCCCAGTTATATGACAGGTGGAACGGTCCGGTGTGAAAACTGCTGGACATCGGCACTTAAGCTGCGACGGTCGGCGCAACTCACGTGACTTGATCCCCTGACCGATGACGTCATAGGGGATTGGGCGGCCAGTCGGCTGCACGTGCGCTGCTTTTCTTACACATCACGATTATTGACGCCTATTTACATTTGTAATCACCAACTTAGAGGAATAGAGGGTTGAGAGCGGCGATTTGTTTTATGGTACGGTAATGTTCGAGGGCGTGAGGCGCTGTTCATTTTGTGTTACGTTTGAAGCTCTGCCTCACAGCATGTAAGCCGACCGGCAACCAGTTTCACTGGCGGGCATTCCTAGCTGTTAGCTGGCTTGAGTAATTTTGTCGAAACTTCCTACTTCACGCATCAGTTTCGTAAAGACTTTGATGCGCTCCCCCCCCCCCCCCCCGCGAAGTAAATTGTACACTGCCGAGGCTGGATTAAATTCGATGACACGAACGTTCGCTGCCAATGGCAACGCTGACTTGATTTTCACCATAATTTTTGGAACATCTGTAATCAATCATGACATATCTCCAAAGTAGGATGCAAATCTGTTGTGATTTATTATCTCACTTAATATTACATTTTTTCGTGTGAGCAATTAATTTAAAATAAAAATGATGGTCATTTCTCAATTTAGTTCAAACATAGGCATTCCATGCTACTTGACGTCATTCGGCCACTCATAGAGTAGCTGATTTGTACCAGATATATGCGGGCCAGAGATACACGGTATGCACCCACTGAGATTGCTGACCTTACCCTTTCGCTGTGCATTTAGTGAATGACGATCAAGTATCCGTCTGTGGTAAACGCAGACAATGCAACTTCTCAAGTATCCGTCTGTGGTAAAGGCAGACAATACAATTTCAAGGTCGATGTAGAGTCCGTTGGATAGGAATGCGGTACCCTTTTAAGCATGCTCAACAAAAACATGGTTGATCCTCGGCGTATCTCTGTCAGCTTTGATGAGTAACCATAATTCCATCATCGTTTGAAGAAGGGACGCTTTTACCTTAGGCATCGGCGTTGCGATCCTACAACACAAGATATAATGAATAATACGAGACGCGTCCTTGTGCAATGATTCTAGTAGCACAAAGGTGCAATGTCTCAAAGGAGCGCGATGGAGTCTCACGACCATCAGTTGTCGTCGCCGTGCTAATGTGCTGGCAGCATCCATGTCATCTCCTCATTTGACATAAATTTGCTCACACGACAATGTCATCTAACCAAGGCACTCCTCATGTACCAATGATACCTTTAAGGCCAGTCAGTTTTAAATTTGTGCTTTGCCGAGCAGACCACGCGAATCTAATCACTATCAATTTCAGAAACACAGGCAATGTAAACGAAATACCGGAAAGACTGAAGCTCTTTCCACTGTTGCTCAACTATCGCTGTAAATATCTTTGGCCTCCTTTCGTGATGACCTAGCGTAGACTTGTGTGTGATGGCCTCCGACTGTTTCACGACGGGAAGGAGAAAGTTGATGATGAAGCTCGTCGGATGCTCGATGAAGTATCAAATAATCAGGCACAGATCAGTTTTACACGACAGTTTTCCGTCACATGGCCCCTATCAGAGAGCGTTATGTCCCGATTCTGCCACCGTTTTCGGCTGGGGAATGACATATTTAATGTTGTTCCAAAGCCTCGGATTGTACATCGCCGATGAGACTATCCGTTTACTTGACCTCAATTTGGAATGGCGCCATTGGTTTCGAGACATCCCTCTCGCCCTCGTCTGGCGGTCTTAACTCAGAAACATCCAGGCTCGCACGAACCGTTGCTTGCCCCACCCCCTGACGTGCGGCGCCGCTAAAAACCCACCGTGGCACGTCTGATGTTGCAAATTTCACGGCGTTCTTGGCAGCCATTCATCCGTGACAACAGAGTCAGTGACAGCCGGCCCTTTGTAGCTGTGCGAGCAAAAAGGAAGCGTGCGTCCGACACGTCTGACGCAAGCAATTACCACGTTCCTTTGAAACCGTGTCTTGGGCGCGCTGGGCGCTGCGCCGAGCGGAGCAGGTCCATGCCCGCAGCGCACCGAACAAACCGCCTCAAGCGTCGCGGCTGATAATGACGCACTGTAGCGCAGGTGCCACAGCTGTGAGGTGGAGGTGAGGTCAAGCTGGCAGGAGGAGAGCCTTTGCTCTTCATGGCCCTCCACCCGCCATGGAGATGATCATGCGCTTCTCGCTCTTCTTGGCAGCGTTGCGGACGCTGTCGTGCTTACTTGAGCCTCCCTTCCTTCTGCTCACGCGACGGCCGCCTTGACGCGCACCTTGGGACAACTTTGGACATCTTCAGACGATCATGAATGGCACGGTGGACTGTTCGTTGGTCATGCCGAGATTCTGAGCTATCTGATCAGTCGTCACACGACGACCTATCATCAGAGTCTCCACTTGATTCACGCGGGCGGGGTCAGCCTGTGTTGCGGGCCTCGCGGAGCGTGACAAGTCACACACTCTCTTCCAACACTCCTCGAACTCCCTCACCCACCCACGCACCTTTGACACGGAAAAGGTGTTAATGGCGTAAACATCTGAAAGCGGTTTGTGAGTCTCACATGCGTTTTTCTTCATCAGTGTCTTAAAGCTGATCCTCGAACACTGCCACTCTCTGGTAGCACTCAGCATTTGCAAACCAGTGTCGAAATGACAACAAAGTTCTGGTCAACATGCCAAATGTGACTGCACATCGCACATGCCACATTGTTACACGTAGCTGCACACTGCACATGGCACACATCGCACGTAACTCCGCACTGCACATGAGCCCATGCCAGCGTGCAAGCGTACTCATGTCTCATGGGCCCGCGGCTGAGTCGGCGCTGGATGACGGACGGCCGCGTGGCGGGCAGGACTGCATCCTGGACGGCGAGCGACGGTGCCAAATGGTCTGTCGCCGGTTGGCGTCGACTGCGAGAGCCTCGTCTGATGGCTGGCTGCCACTGCAGCTCACCCCCGCACTGTAATCTCCAGCAAGGGGGGGGGGGCTGGCACTGCACACCTCGCCCCTCCCTCCTCCTGCGCCCGCCCGGGCCATGGCACTGCACCCGCGGAGAGGAGTCTTACTTCGTCCCGCCCGTGCGAAGTCTCCCTCCTCACGAGCTGACAGCGCGTCCTCACCGCTTCCCCACGGGCCGGGCAGCTGCGGCCGCTGTTAGGAGCGGGTGTTGTGAGCGTGGTGTGGCGAGCTGGCCGGTGAAGCGGAGGCTGTTACCCGCGAGAGCCAATTATCGCCTCTGTTTAGGTCCACAACTTCTGTGGGCTTCGTTGGGGACTCGATGGGCTTCCTTTGGGTTTCTGTGGGATTTCGTTGAGGCTTTTGTGGGTTTCGTTGCGTCTTTTGTCGCCTTTGTTGAGCATTGCCAGTCCACGTTGGGTTTCTATGGGCTTTGTTTGGGCTTATATAGACTTCGTTGGGGATTCTGTAGGCATCTTTGGAGTATATAGGTGTTTGGCGATCCATGGCGCAATTTGCTCAAGAGAGACATTTACGTCTGCTCTTTCCCTCCCGCTTCCGCGTATTTGTGAAAAAAAACGTACGGCGCAACACCCGAGGGAGTATCAGGGATTGATTCCTCTCGTTGAGCTTCTTTGATGTACTGACGTTGGGGCCAAGAAAACATCAAAAGATGAAGCGAATAATCAGTGTCATGCATTTGTGGGTTCTCTGTAGGACTGGTATCGCGTCGAACGAGCTCGGAGATCAAGCAGAGCGTTACACACGATAAGGTCGCGTGCATGCATCCCAACATTGGGTCGCGGGTCCGTATGGGAACCGTTGAGATTGTGAGACCGTTGGTCTCGTTTTGAAATTTGCGTGCCTGCATTACACCCTAAGTAATATTATCGCGGACGTCTCGTCGTTGCATGGAGTCAGGGCATGTAGATAATGTCTTCCTGTGAAAAGATTTGAAGACAAAAACACTGCAATCGAAAGAAATATTTCTGAAATAGTGGTATTTTCTTCTCAAGCGCCCAGCACTGCGTGAGCGCAAAAACAGGCTTCCTCTGGTCATCGCTGCCGTGGCGTGGCATACGGCGTTTGACTGACCATTGCGGCTGGGATCCAAATGTGACCGGATCGGCCGAATTCCCCGGCTTTCGCGGCCAGAAAAGGGACTCGGCCGTCCAATCGACCTCATCCCCAGGCGAACGGTTTATTTACGCGTCCGCGGACGTGTTGACGTTCATTTTCTGTCTTTGTCGTATCTTTTCGCGCGGGACTTGAATCGGAGACCGATACATTGCTGTTCTACGATTTGTTGATAAAGCGAATGAAAAGTTCCGCGCAGACTAGCAGGATAATTTTTCCCCGATGTAAAGTGGGCTGCATGAATCCTGTTCGTTTTCCGAAGTGCTTCCTTCGAGTCACATACCGGTTGCAGATTGCAATGGGGCCGGACTTTTCTGTTTGCTCTGGTAACCACCTTGCATTGACGGGATCATTTCAATTTCCTTCCATGGCAGGTCGTGACCCTGTAGCGTGGCTGTTTCTGAAAAGCAGTGCACAAACGCGGATGTCAAACACGCCTTCGGAGAGCAGAGCGCTTATCACGGTCGACAGATTTAAT